TGAATTCCACTGCCGGCTAATTGGCAACATCACATTACTACCAATTAATGCTATCGACAAGCAATTAAACTTCATCCTGACATGAAGACTTCATTGGCTACGAATTTTCATCAGGACTTCAGAAGACCTATATCCAGTAGTCAATAATCAACTGGAGAATGATATTCAGATCATAGATTTTGTAGGCACCTGCAGTGAAATTAATCCAAAAATACCCAATAACCTGTTCAATCTGAAGGTGTATCTATAGTTGAAAAGTATTCATTGTTCGACTGCAGTTAAAGATTTCTGATAATGTATTTATCTATGGCCTTAAGTAACAACTGAAATTGATTTAATCACCTCACACAATAATATAATCTACTTCTTCGAAATGTGCGTTGGTGGCACAGTAAATAGAATGCTCGCTAACCATGCAAAGGGCTACGGGTTCGATCCCCAGTCATCGACACACTCTTTTTACTCGATAAACCAGTAGTAAGACTGGTGAAGAGTGAAGGTTGGGCATAAGACTAGCAACCTTACCCAGTAAAAATAAACACCACAGTTACCAAACCTTCGAAACTCAAGCTGTAAACCTATGTTCCCCTGGAAATGTAAAGGAATAAAGAAATTGTTTTTAAAACATGGTCATAAACTAGTGGACTAGTAAAGGTGAAAAGAGATCTATGAAAATCGGTAGTAGGTATTCAACGGCCTAATCTTTTAGAGGAAGTATTTCAACATGTTATAATGTTTACTATAACAAAGCAAATATCAAGTGAGGCATAGAAAGAGATTGAACGATTCAGACTCGTTAAAATTAAACACACAAATATAAATTCATTAGTCATCCATCATCCAAATAACTACGTAAATGCTATTTATATTTCGAAAGTCATTAGAATTTATGTAATCACTTAATTTGTAATATACAATAAATAAGGTAAATATGGAATTCGAATTTCAATTGACTACAGTTGTTTTAATGAATTAAAGAACAATAATAATATTAAAATGGATAAAAAATGATCAATACATAACCTAGGCAACCAATCATTTATTAAATAGGCTAAATATTCAGTTTATGAAATATGCTTTTTTTTATTCATGAGACCAAGTGTTAAAACTGTTATTTTTTATTAGAATTAATATCGCCAGATTACAGCTGTTAATAAAAGAGCTTTAATTTTTTTTTCTTCGGTAAATAACTCCAATTCTGAGATAATAGATAAAGCTAAGTGGCGTCAGAAGCTTAAAAGTAGGACGCCTACCAGCTACACTAGGGTGGATAGGTTTTTATTTTATGAATGACGCACATCTAAAACTTGTCTGGCTGGTAGTAGGACAGGATAAGTGGGAAGGGTGCTAGATGCATAATAACGGTTACTCTCTGCTGACCAGTCAGTGAAACGTTTACAGCTTTACAGGAGGTCACTCGAAGGACTGAACGATTCACTGGTATCGTCTCTGGCCGCAGCAACAGATCAACGAGGTTCGAGTCTCCAAGAAATAATCAACTCCATAAAGGTTGTTTACAAGTACCAACAAGCCCACAACTTCAATCTAGGGTATCTTACCAACTACATTCAATAATGCAGAGTAAATTTTGAAGTGTATCTTAGGTAACCTAGTTTGATGATTATATTACAAAACTGACTGACAGAATTAATTCATCACTGAAACCAAGGCCCAGATATAAGGTAATTATTACTCCTCAGTGACTACTCAGTGTAGAAATTCCATTCAATAAAATTAAATCAATAAAATACTTAAATATATATATATATATTATTCCCATGGGTTGTCAGGGGAACATACAACTTCCGCAGCACATCTCCATTTCGTCATGTTCTCTGCAGTTCACTCTAGCTGCCTACATGATTGCTAGTAAGCCCTCGTCTTCCCCCAAACGATCTCCTTCATATCATCCTTGGACTTACCCCCAGCTCATTGTTTCTAACTCGGGTTCCATTCGAGGTCCTGGAGCTCTATGTTACCCAATGATCACCTCTGTGTGTATCCAATGCATCTCTATTTTCTTCGGAATATTCTTTGGTTGACAGGTTCATGGTTGGTTAGTTCCCAGAGTTTTTTCCTGCTAATTCTTTCCGGCCAGCCATCCGATCTTCAGTATGGAGAGAAAGAAAACATCGACGGAAGTCTACAGCCAATTTATAACGCTCGAACGTAGTTTATGATCCATATAGAAGAAATGGATTAACACTGTTGTTAAAAACCTTTGTTTTGTTGCTTGTACTGCGTGTAGAAGATTTCTACACTGATTTCAAGGTGATATATGTCTGCCTTGCATTTCCGATTCTAATTTCAGTGATCCCATCTATGGAGTTGGCTGTAGTTGAGACGATGCTTCCCAAATCAGCAAATGAATGGATCTCCTTTGTACATATAAGTATTTGATTTAATCCACAAGTCATGTTTCTGAAGAACCATCAGTGAGAGATTCTGACAGTCTCAGATGTTTTTTTCAGATGAGAAGTTTTGTTTCATGTATAATGGATAGCATTTAGAATTGATCTATGAAAGTCTTTATTCTCTGATGGTTGTTAAATATCCGACCTACATTCTCATTTCATCCATTATATCAGCGTTAGTCTTTTAAATTCAACAGTATCTGAATTAATGCTAACTGAAGTTAACATTTTCGCCCGAATAAAGGATATCGTGGTAAACATTTCATCATGAACCTCTGTTGCATCCTATTCTGAGGATATTTATTATCACACACCCTGGATTTTCATCTCACTAGCCTAATGTCGGTGGTGGAGTGGTAGAACGCTTTTCAACCACATGTCACATGGTCTGGAGTTCGACTTTCAGCTGGCGAACAGCTTAACCCTTCAACCTTTTGCGGAACCAACAAATAGGGAGAATTGAGAGTGAGGCTAGCAACACTTACCTCTAAAATATGAACACCACTGTTAATGAAACTTCATAGCTCAAGCTTGAAGTCCTATGTTCCACTAGAAACGTAAAGGAATTTTTAAAAATGATAAGAAAATGTCCTCGCACGAGCTGGATCCTATTCCTTGGTGAATTCGTGAGTAAATACTGGTGAAGAATCCTACGCTAGAATAAAATACCTGTCAGATGCTTTATCTAGCCGTCACTACTTCGTTAACCGATGTTTTTTTCTTCACACAAGTCGATTCTGCGATCAGCAGTGGAATTACGTACAATCTAAACACTTCTAATTACAGCACAAAATATCTTTTTCAGAGAAACTTTCTAATGTTTCGAGAGGAGAAAAACATCTATTTCTTTGCAAGTGTATTGTATTACTAGGCTCTTTAAAATAAAAAAACTCTAACGATCCTCTTTGTACCTATCCAGGCTAAATGAAAAAAAACTAAACACCTTGAATTTCTCTATACACTTATTTCTAAGATAAAATTTCAGCGTATGTTACTTGTTAACACTTTCGACGCAAGTACTATTGTATCACATCAAGAGACAAAAGTCACCAACTTACTAAACTGTAGTCACTATAGTTGACATCTGGTAGAGCTAGAAGCAGCTATAGGAGGCTATATGGTAGGACCACAAAGTACAAAAACTCCACAATACCATATCTGGCACAGCTGTTGTATGATGAGAAATCCGTTAGGTATGACATGATCAACTTACTGCGGCACTCTAACAAATAGTCTTAATAGTTTTTGTTTTCCTTTCCTCGTTACTATTATACTGTAATTCACATCTTCTATTACACACCAATTTCATATTTCATATCCTGTGGTGCATTGTTCAGAATGCAAACGCAACGCTGTTCATTGTATTTCTTTTTATTTATCTATTTCTGTCTTTGGTTGTTGCTTTTTGATTTTAAAATCATATAAAATTTATGAGGTAATTAGGTGCAATATATTGTAATGCACGCTGAAAATTCTATAACTGTACCACAAATACTGTTTGTAATAAAGCTGTTATTATTATCATCATCATATGAGTCTCTATATCATTGATTTGCTGTGTTTTGTGGCATATTTCTCACGAGTGGTAACAGACAATGAAAGTGTCGTAAGTGCTATTTATAAGAAGATATCAGTAGTGTCTACAGTAGTATAATGATAGCTCTGATATTAGATGGTTGGGGGGAGTCGGAAGGAAGCTCAGTCAGACCTAGGTTTTGTGCTTCCTGGCAGTCACCAGTCGACAAGGCATATCCACAATCTTGAAGGGACCCATTTCTTTTCTGAGATTTGCACCTGCGCCACCTATATTCTGCAGTCAAACACATAATCAATGAGCTATTCAAGCTCGCTACTTACATTCTGTAGGAATATATTGGAGGCTTTAATCAGACACCAACTAATATCCTGCGTCTAGTTCTTGGTTTGGCCCAGACTGATTTCTATCAGCTGGGAAATTTGTCGCCAGCTTGAATCGCTCCGTGGCAAAGTCTCTGACTATGGCACCGGATGAGGCGGGTTCGAATCTCAGAATGGACATTGATTTCTTCAAGGTTTCAAATACGCTGTGCGAAATTGGTGAGTGCCAACTACCACAAAACCTAGGTCTGACCAGGATTTCTGTCGGCTGCCTCCAGAAATGTCAAATATCAACCGTTCGTAGTGCATTATGATGGTGAGCCACCCAGCATGGTGGCCACATTGTAAACTTGACTGATAGAATTCAGTCTGTACAAAGCAAAGAACAAGATACATGACACCAATTAGTTGATGTCCAATCAGAGTAATGATAAGTATTTTGTGTCACTAGAAAAGCCATTGAAGAAGGAAGGTTAGGAGAGGCTTATTTTTCTCAGAACAAGCATCTAACCAGAAAGAGTCAGTGATGAACAAAACATGCCTGATAAATAAAAGATCATATCACCGGCAAATAGGGATGTTTCCGTAGGGCTTATGATTTTTTGCTAAGGTTCATTATATTTTGTCCTAATTAGCGGTAGATCTTTGCTTGCTAGCCTTGTTTACTTTGTACTGAATATCTCTGATGCTGCAGAAATTAATACCTTTCCTATCATGTGTCTATTTTAGCTGATGAAATGAATCATTCAAAACGTGAGTCTACTCAACCACTTGCTAACAATGGTAATAATTTAAACAAATCCTTAACCAATTCAATATCTCAATCAATGACAAAGCTGAACTCATTAACACCTGATGATGCAGTGAATTGTGCCAGTGGCAATTTCGATAATCGTCCAGCTTCTGCAAAAGACCTAAGCATCAATGACGCAACGATAAAGCAGTATAAAGACAACACTCCACTGCCTAATACATCTGTTTATAAAAGCATGAATAGTAAAGTGAATAAAACTGATAATCTAATAAGCTCAGAAAATAATTATGATAAAATAGGCAGTATTAAGTATGCACCAGCTGAGTTGAGCCCAGATCTTATGGTTGTGAATATGACGAATTCATTAGGTCAACCGATTTCAGTAATTACTAATTCAATCCAGATTGATACATCACAGATACAAACCGAAGAGATGATGAATGGTGGATCAACGTCAGACACAGCGGCATCAGTACCATTGTCATCCTCTGTTGGAACAGTAACATCAACCACGAGTGGAACAGCAGTGACGCCGAATTACATTCCAAATCCCGATTCATATTTAACAACAACTCCTACAACATTCTTTTATTTCTGTAATAATGAAGGGCAGCTATTTGCTGTTCCAAGTAATACAGTGATATTTCCTACTGCTGTTGGTCGTCTTAACGGAACAGCTGTGTCAAATGATGTAACGTATAGCAGTACACCGACGTTCATCGCTTCACAGGTCAACGGAGGCAACAACAATAATAACACTAACAGTAATAATAGTAATAATAATAACAGTAATAATGGAAGTAATACTAGTGGTAACAATCCTATGACACTACGAACTAACGGTTGTATTTCAAACTATGATATTCCATATCAATTATATTCAGGCACCGATTACAGCGCTATGTTGAAACAGACAGATAACAGTTCATGTCGTGAACTGATATCCGGATATTCAGTGCCTATTCAACCATCATATCTTAATGGTTTTCCTCAATGGATACCGAATCAAATTACTGTCGACAATCAAAATGGTAGTCAACAGTTGCAGAATGCATCAGCTAATCCTTTAGTACTGCCAACTAATCAAGGCGTTATCTTGCATCCGTCATGTCCATTTCCTTTGCCTTCAATGGGACTAATTCAACCGTTAATATCAAATGTTTTCCCGAATCAAAGTTTTAATACTGCCTCAAATGTTGAAGAGAATGGTGTTAATAATCATAATGGTAATAATGGTAGTAGTAGTAGTAGTAATAATAATAATAACCACAACTCGACAAAACAAAAGAACAGCCAACAAGGTGTCTCTGCATTACTGAATCGTTCTAATGACCAGATTAAACTACGTCGGTTCACAAATGACTTGCCCAGTCTACTAGGTAATGCTAAATCAACGCGTTCAGGAACAGGTTCTGGAAAACTGTCGAATTCAGGGAATAATCATTCAAAGTATGCAGGTAAAAGTTTAGTATCCAGTTTCTTGGATGAATACAATAATGCGATGAATAGTCAGAGTGCTGCAAATCGTCAGAAAAAGGTAAATTGTTTGTGTTTATATATATATATATATATGTATACATGGCTGAGAGATGTATCGGTGGTTCGTCGGTAGAACACCCTCCAACCATCCCCCACGCAGTTAGGGGTTTGATCCCCGGCCGACGTACTCCTGAACCTTTCCAAGATGGAAGTAAGGCCAGTAAGGAGGGAAGGTTGAGCGTTAGGCCAGCAACTCCACCTCATGAGGATGAATAACACCACTGCTAACAAAAATTCAGAGCTCAAGCTTGAAGCCCTTTGGTCCACTGTGAACGCATAAGAATAAGAAAATAAATAAATCAATAACTATTGAGTGATGTGGTAGTAAAATACATTCCAAACACGGAGGTGGTTCAGGCTTGATTCCCGACCAACAGACTCCTCGGCTACCTTACAGAAAATAGCAATTCTGGAAGAGAAGGAAGGTAGAAATGAAGTCAGGAACTCTATTCCTCAAACAAAAGATCAATGGTAATGAAACTTGGAAGCCTGAAACCCAGTGTTTCACTAAGAACACAAAAAAATGAAGTAAGAAGGTGACTGACATCAACAGTCAGAGATCACTCACGTCTAAAAGTTTCGCTTATTAGCCATATCAGAAGGATCTAAAATACTGGATGGTAATTTCATCGATTTGTGCCACAGATAACCAACATTGTACCGATTAGGTTCAGTCTTAACAGTCAAATCCGATAAAAATCACTCAATTTCTGTTTAACGAGCTTTTGTTACTTGAAACTGTGTAATTTTTAATGACAAACTTAGTTCATTCGACAGTATCATTTAAACTGATTTATCTCTTAAGATAACCGTTGAATGTAATTTTAAAATATACAGCTATAGATTTAGTAGTGCACGAGTATACTAAGAAATCGGTAAAGGAATGATGATCGAGGAGGCTCCGTATGCTCTTGGAAGTGTGTGGGCGGTTTTTACTTCTCCACTGCCCACACTGTGGAAGTTGATTAAATCTTCAGGTACCTGAAACAGAAAGAAACCTAGCGTTGTGTGACTGCAGAGACCAATGGACAACTGCTTAACTCCTGCTGGTCACAAACGGCTTGTATGAACTGGTTTCTTGGTTTGGTTCGTATTGGTAAACTTATAGTCGGTTACGGACCATTGTAGAGTAAGTCGGATGTACAGTTTTAGGCGTCAACCTTTTCTAGCCACCTGTCTTCAGGGTAGAGAGACAGCATAGTTGGTATGCTGATCTTCTGATGGGAAAACCTCACTTCTGTTACATCCCTGTTCCTTGACAGTACGACTTCTCCACAGATTCCCCAGCTTAGTGTAAAAATCTCTTACACTAAGCCAGTAACTGCTTTTAGTCTAATCGCTATCCTAGCAACCTTGCTGGTATGGTAGGATCTGCAGGGACAACAGTTGCAGCCAGTGTAGCTTGTTGGGTCATCGCGATGTGCATACCTCAACCACCACATCAAGGAAGCAGCTATCGGTCTGTATGCTACAAATCAGTTTGAAGTGTACAAGTACAGACCTTTTAATTGCTATGACCAGAAAAGTTATTAACAGTTTCTTGCCACCAGATTGATTGGATCGTTGATGGATGCTTCTTGAATTGGATCCCTGTTGAGGTTGTGAGCTGAGTATCCCCTGTCTAGAGTGCAGAATTTGTTCAGTCTTCCTTGATTCATAATAATCTCGACATATTTGTGGTCCCAATAACTAGACACTAGCAAAGTGAAGCTTACTTCTACTCTTTTCATTTTATTCTACTTACATTAAATATATATTCTAAATAAATCTACTGAAAGAGTACTACTGATCGCTTAAACTGTTTTCATCAGTTCTTGATATTATTACTATGGATTTATTCTTATCTCTTTGTCTAATTTAGCATGCATCGAAAACAAACTTATACATTCGTGGTCTGCCGACTACATTCACAGAAGAAGAATTACACACACTGGCACCAGATCGTAACTTGATACGATCAGTTAAATTAATCACTGGAGCTGAAGGAGAAAGTAAGCACTGTTGTAATAATTGTTTTTAAAAAATTAAAACTTAAATAAAGTGAGAAACAGCTCATTTTGACGGAATGGGACTACTCTTATGTATATTTACGATTAGTTTGTATTACTCTGCCAGTCTGCTGATTATAAAATATCTCATGATTTATCTACAATGTAGGCATTCACTTATCCACTCATCTAGAGATTTAAAATTTAAATATAAACTTTGTGGAATTAAATCAGATGCAGAGATTCCTATTAAATATCTGAAACCTAAAAGTATTAGGTGTCGGTTGATCTTCACTCTCCTCCTGGTGAATTTATGTTGTCACGATGCATTAAATATGAACTTTTACGGGCCCCAATAAGGGGGTAAAAGAATCGTCAGAATATTTCACTCGATGATGGACAAAACCTAAATCTGATAGGCGGTTCTACTTTGGCCATTCGTTTGTATGAATAGTAGTGTCAGGAATGACTAACCCCTGTGTAACTGACGGAAGGGGGTTGGAACTACGATTTAGAATTACCTCCATAATTTCCTTCTGAAATTTTGTGTCGTAAATTCATAATACCTGAAGGTCATTTACCCTAGGGCGACTACGGTTATATTTCTTCTTTATGAGAACTCTTTCATTGAAGGGAAGAGTAACGCCAACTCCTCTTAACAACCGTGTGACATTATTCATCTTCTAGGATGCTAAATATCTTTGTAATATTAGAATCATTGCATGTAGACACTAAGAAATTTTCCGTCTCTACGGCCATTGATCTCACTCCAGTCTTTAATCCCCAGTAATGGCGGGACAGTTCCGATATAAGAAGGAAATTTTCTAGATAACAATGAACAATGAACTAATCATTGCGAACATCGATTTGTTTCCTACACTGTGGAAACCTAAATACATGTCCATCGCTTCCTTATAAACACTGTCGGATGTAAACAAAAGCATCATAAGAGCACTTACGGCTATGTGCTATCAACTCATTGTTTAAACAGTATGTAAACACGTGATCGGGGTGAAATTCTCAACTTTATTCATAAAAATAGCATTTTTGTTGGTCCCCTAATAATGGTAGGTCCTGTTTTCCAACGGCTAGTATGCATTCAAGGTCATTGGTGTGTTTACACTCCCGAATTGTGTTACTTCAACTTCGCCATCCTTCTACTACTTAGAAGTCCCTAAGTCGTTACTATTATTACAACAATCAAACTGTCGAAAAATTCTTTTCCATTCAAACTGACAACTGTCACCAGATTATGTAGATGATTGCCACATGCACAACATAATGCATCATTGGTGAGCAGTGGAATTCGATTGGACTAGATTCTTTTTCTATGCACTGAAGTAAACCAATAATGTAAAAGTAAGCATACTGACCGGTAGATTTCATCAGCTCTGACCTCAGAAAGTTTAAGTGTTTAGACTATTCAAATCTCTGTAGAAACATTCTGTGGCAAACTTAAACTTTAGAGCTGCAAATGACCAATTACACTAATTACTTCCTACTGGTCAATTACAGTCTTATATCATTTATAGAGTTGAAATCATGTTGGCTGTCCGTAATGCCCAATGCTCAGGATTTAGAAAAAAACAACCACATGTGAAAAAGTGCCTTGAAATATATATCACTGGATAATTCTTAAATCTAAGTATAACCTAACATTAAGCTAACTCTAAACAAACCATGAAGGTTAGTGATGAGGAATAATATCAACACAGTTAAGAGAAAATTGGATTTATTCTCACAATATGTAAAACAGTCTGCCATTCACTGGAATTACTGTCGAAGGCATCCTTTATCTTACTTCACTAAACAGCTGATTGATAGTCACACTTACCACATAGGGAGTCGCACATATTTCTCCGAATAACTTCTGGACATAACTCCATATATTTTGAAGATATTTATTTTTTTCATCTATTTTTTCCCGTAAAAGCGCCTGATTAGTTTCCAAACATCCAGTAAAACAGGTTTTTCATGTTTTAAAGTGTTGATATGTGAGAGATAGGTGGACATTGATTAGTTAGGGGGTCAGCTATTTCGTCCATAACACTGGTTAAGGAGGGCATTACACTGAGAACCGACAGCAGTTAAAATCGATGAGTTACTTGATTATGCATGATATAGCTTTCTAGCATCTTCATGTTTTCTAGGATCCTCTGTGTATTTCCAGTTACTGTAGAATTCTACCCTCATATTTCTTAACAGTCGTCTAGATTATCATTAAATGTTACTTCAAAAATTGTTCCTTATCCACTTTAGTATAATATATGTATGCATGCAAATACTTGAATGTCCTTTATATAACTTCCTTTTTGCACAAACTTAATTTGAATCAGTCGCCAACGACATGAGTCGTATGATTCGTTAAGTTTTCGGGACTTCTTCTGTCTTCAGAGTGAATTCTTTGAAGAACACATCTATACCTTATTAACATTTCAAGCTCATAAATGGCTCTGGCAAAAAAGAAACAAAAAAATTAAGAAACCTCTTTTCTAATTTAATTGGTGGATGGTGACTAACAGTGGAATCCAGGATGCGCATTTCGTCATATTTGGGACCAGCATTCCTCAGTGAGTGATGATGTTCCCACTGAGGATCGAACCCAGTGGCCATAGTTTCAAACGCCAAAGCGTTATCCACTAGCCCACTCGGGCCACGAGAGCCATAATCCTTTGTGTAACAGGTCATATTATATATTTAACTGAATTTTAGATTTTCCCGTCGATTGACTGAATATTGCTTTGCCTTTTGAAACTATGGACATTGGGTTCAAGCCTCGGTGGGAACATCATCACTCACTGAGGAATGCAGGCACATCCAGCTGACGAGTCCCAAATAAGATGAAATGTGTGTTATCGTGGATTCCAGTGCTAGTCACCATCCACCAATTAAAATTCTAATTGCATGCCAAGACATCGTCGAAGCATCTGAATAAGAAGCCAACATATCAACCTGAGACCGAGCACTTCAGTCCAATCAATCGACGGGAAAATCTAAAACCCATTTAAAACCTCTTTTCTTCGTGTTAATATTTATTTGCTAACTAAATAGGATAGTGAAAGTAATAGACATTTAGGCCAATACAATTCATAATCGTAATGATTATGATATTAATAATAATAGTAGTAATAACAATAAAAACATCTTTCTGACATTTAAAAAATAATCACGCTCATGACTTGGAAATCGTGACTGGGAATACATTAAAAAAAGATACATTTATATAAGAACAAAACAAACGGAGGTAGCATTATAAGCCCATTTGACCGAAAAAGTTTCTTACTTCATGCTAACAAGTATAGAGTATATTCGGAGAGGAAATATTTCGTATAGTTAGATTGTTTCATTATGAATAGTGAATTTTGACAAATTCCATTATGGGTAAATTTTGTTTTGATAAAGTCTCACAGTGTTATACAGTAATGTTTACTGATGACGTTTCGAGCACAATTTATTGCTCATAATCATATCAAAGTCATCACACGACTTTGATATGATTATGAGCAATAAATTGTGCTCGAAACGTCATCAGTAAACATTACTGTATAACACTGTGAGACTTTATCAAAACAAAATTTACCCATAATGGAATAACACTCTACCACAGTGCACAAGTTTTATTCTTATATCAATGAATTTTGACAAAGACAAAGCACGTAGTTCCGAGACGAGGCTATTTTTGACGAATTACTTCTTCTCTTTAGCTTAACTATCACATTTATACACACTTTTGTTTTCATGAAACAGGGTAACAACAAAGTGATGAGTTGTCATATTCATAATTGTCGATATTAGTCAATAATACATCAAGGCAGTTAAATATAAGTGTATTAGAATTACGTAATAGGATGAATAATTTAATGTCTGAGTTGTAATCAGAATGCACGTAAAAACAAGGGAAAATATCGCATTATGTAGGAATTCTCAATCGATACACGACTTATAAGGATATACAATAAAACAAGCAAATAAGAATCAAGTCAGCATAAATCAACCAGGATGTTACCATGATAGATACTAGCCGTAGTTGAATAAATTTCCTTGGTATGCATAGCTCTGGTTTTTCTAACTAAATGACAAGGGCTTTGACAATAACAAGGAGGTAAAAGCGTATTACCTTCGCTAGGTTGTTCTTCACTTTTAGGATCACTTTGAAGAAGGCGTTTGTTGAGATGGAACGATCAGTGTTGACAAGATGTTCGATTAGAGCTTTCCTTATGGAGCCACTTCTACCTTTCTTCAACCATGCGCGATAGTCTTCTTGAACCCTTTTGGACAGGATACGCATCAAACGATCAATACATCTGACTCCACAGCAACATGAAGTCAGACGTATGCACACAGAAGTGGCCAGATGTGAGACAGAATGTGATAAAATGATAAGGGGAACTTGACCTATCTAGAATTTGAAGGAATTGGCGACCAGCTTAGTGTATCTTTGATAAACAACATAGTCTTGGTATTTTTGAACCTGTTGGTCGGACATAATCAAAGAAAATGCAGTTAATTAGCTAATAATTATTTAACATTCTAGTTAGCAATAAATTACTTATGAAGAAATAAAAGCAAGTTTCTCTGCTCTGAGGAACTCGCATCAACCGTAATGGACCAGTTACTGACAAAAGCATTTTATGCCAAAGGGGGAATGTTCAGCTATTCATCAAAGAATATGTGTACAACACAGACATTCGCCCCGACCTTTCATTATGACTGAAACGTGGCTAATAAAAGTGTCGGACGACCACAGGTGTCTTCATTCATTTTGTTCATGTTATGTGGAACAGCCCGATAAGTTATACCATAAGGTTACACGTAAAGCGTTTGGCTAAAATGTGGGTCGATCAATTAAGTTGCGACAATTTATCGAGTGAAGTCACTTGGAGATGTCTTGTTCGTCACATACAATCCAATCTCTTTTGAAGACGAATGTTAGCTAAAAAAAGAATTAGGTTATAACTTAGCTAATGGTAATCATACCCAGATATAGTATCATTTGATGAAGTTGCTGACTTTCAGTCTGTATCACTTCCTGATGTTTGAGTTATATGCCTGGCATCCTCATGACACTAAGAGACTACAAATCATCATGTTGTTCTATCATTGTATTTCCATTCTCTTTTGGCGTATTCACCTTTCAAAGCATGTCAATTTCAACTGATGCATCTGTGTAAAGTCCTCCATATTTCAACACTACTACTATTTCTAATAATTAACTTGTTTTATTGGCTTTCCTACTAGCAAGTGATTCAGGTTTGATTCCTCTTCGATTCACTCCTTAACCTCCCTGGTTTTACCAGTTGTCAATAGACTCAGGAAATAAAGAAGGCAATCTGCTAGGCTAGCAAGCACATTCCACGAAAATAACACCACCACTGCAGAAATTTCGAAATTTGATGCCTGAGACTCGGAACATCAGGACCAAACTATATTGACAGAATCTTAGGAAACAGATTGATTTTTATGAAAAACAAATAAAACGGTTTCAATTTTCAGAAGAGAAGTCAATATTAACTGAAATAGGAGTATTGAAGACTTTGATATGCTTTAAAAGAGACGAAACTAGAGAGTATTAAATGCAAAATCAAAACAAGTGATTCAGCGAAGAGGCTCTTTTCAACGAATTTATTATCGAGCTGTACATGGTTTTTAAGAGATTATATCTGATGAGGAAAGTGAATCATAGGTGTAAATGCATAAAATAATATTGATATCATATCATGAAAAGAAGCGTATCATAGTCCCTGAAAAGAAAATTCCCTGCTGCATCTCAGAGAATACCCTTTATTAGTCAACCATTACTGTTTAATAACCTGAAGGACAAGATCCCGCTGTTGAATAACTCTATGTGCACTTATCAATTCACCTGCTCGTGTGGAGCTAGGTATATTGGTCGTTCAACTCGAGCTTTGTCGAAGATGGTGCAAGAACACTATCCTGCATGGTTACGAAGAGGTAGAAGTAAAGTAATAAGAAGCCCGATCATTGAACTTCTAGTCGATACTGATCACCCTATCTCTATAGCCTCCGCCTTAAAAGTCATCTACATGACAAAAAGTAATTTACCCAAATCACATCGTACTCGATTTATCTGTGATGCTGAAGCTTTGGCTATCGAAACAGAAAAGCCAGATCGTTCAACCCCTCCAACTTTCATGGTCTTAATCCCTCTATGCTAAAGTATGGTAATCCCTAATCATATTTTGGCTCTACCAAAGTTTTCATTTTGTCTATTGAATTTGTATACTCTTCCTTTATTACACCAATTATTAGTATTACTACACTCACTTTGAACTGTCCCCGGTATTATTTCATTTGTTCCACTTGTCATTCTAAATCAATTGCGTTTTGCAACATTAATTATGTTATCAAATTTCACATGATATTACATAACGTTTTTATTTTATTCGATTTGTCTACTAATCGTATAATTCCACACCTTTTTAAAGTTCTATCCATCCTATGAATTATTCTACATATGACATTAATTGTTTTGCCACTTGACATTTAACTAAGATTATAATCACAACCATTTTAGTTTTAATTGCATTTCATACTATTATTATCATTTTAATGCATTCACATCTATAATTCAATTCCCTCACCGGATATAACTTCTTAAAAACCATGTACAGCTTGATGATAAATTCGTTGAAAAGAGTCTCTCCGCTGAATCACTTGTTTTGATTTTCTATATGTTAAAATGGGAATTTTCAATGCGGATTAAATGTCACTATTAGTGACCAACCAATAGTCGTGTTGTCGAATTAATCTGAACACAACTCCACCAAAATCACCCTCCTGATCTACACATCTTCTCCATTACAACTAATGAAATTGAAATCTTGTTTCACACATGAATAACATTCATTAGTTTATTTGCCAGTCACAGCAATTCTATTTATTTAAATGAAGTATAACTTCTCTCATACATTTCCTTCTTTTTTACAGTGTATGGATTCATAGACTTTGTGAATAATGAAGCTGCTAAATCTGCTCTGTTGCATATAAAATCTGGAAATCGTGAACTTTATGTGAATTTCGCTTATGTAAGTTAGCAATGAATAGCCTTCATTTTGTCTTTGTGAATAGTTTCCAAACAAAGTTATATATACATATATATATGTATATATATATATATATATATATATATATATATATATATGTCACTGATTCGATGGTGGGATGCTCGTTAACCATGCACGTGGTCGAAATTAGATTCCGAACTGGCGTACTAATAAAAGTCTCCTACTTTACCGACTAACAGGAAACCGAGGTTAAACAGAAACTTGAGTTTAGGGCGAGAAACCCAATCATATGAAAGCAACACTATCAATACTGAAAAAATTTAAAGCGCGTGGTGTAACCCACCCTTCTGCGCACCGCCAAACAATATAGCTTGTCCATTCAACTTTAAAATCAGAAACATGAAAGACTTTGTCAACTTAATCTTTATTCTCCTTGAATCTTCTCGAAAATGTGTATCCATAATATTCAAAAAGAGACCTATTCCTTTCGGAAGCCATAACGTCTAACTCCTACCGCCGAATATTAAACTAGAGAGTGTATGTCGTTTATCGTTAGTCTAGTACAAACGAGTACACATTTCAACTCTGATCAGGGGAACTAACCATGAATTATTGAACAGCTGTTTCTAACTAGTCTCTTCAATGGTGCATACCCTATCACCGACCAGATCAAGAACCTTCAGGATACAAAGCGAGCTTTTAAATCATTTAGCCATTTGAAAGGGATCAAATGACCTATCAGGTTGCACAACATTTTATCAACAGTTGCCCATGCTAAATACTAAAGGTCAGATCGCTGGGTAAGGTAAGCACTACAAGAAATACCTGAAGACAGTTTGTCAAGAACCTACTACCACCCAACAAATAAACAGAAAAAAATGCAGGTGAATAGTTCGGACATACACTCAGGAGACGTTCAATAGACATCCCGTGCCAGGCTTTCCGTCAAGTGGGACCCAAACATGAAGTTGGTTGTGGGTCCGAGAGTGACACTGTAGCAGATCCTGTGTGAGGATGGAAGGAATTAAAGCCTCTTAGGCTATTATGAAGCCATCTAATGTTTTTCTGAAACAGCATCTATATTCCCACGTAGGAGAGTTAGAGGAATGATAAATAAATACAGCAATAATGAAATCATTTATCTTTTTCACATTGATCCATTAAGTGATTTCCTGTAAGCTGTAAGAATAGCATGAATTGGTAGACGTGATGAATTGTTTTTTTAAATAACTGTCCACTTCCAGACTTTTAAAAAAATTGCACATTAAATCTGCATTCATTGATTCCATTTTTCACAACTACTGATTACTGAAAATTGCCACTGGATTGATTAATGAACAAGAATATTCTTTTCGATAACTTCTTCATCATCAGGTTATACATTTATGTGACCATAATATTCCAAGAAATATTCTTATTAACAATATCAATATTGGAGGTTAATTGTTGGACGGTGACTAGCAGTGGAATGCATGATACGCATATCGTCCCATCTAGGGCCTGTCAACTGGATCCACCTGCGTTTCGCAATGAGTGATGATGTTCTGACCAAGGCTCGAGCCCAGTGCCCATAGTTTCAAACGCCAAAGCGTTAATAACATTGTTTTAAATTACACTGAATCAATAGTATTTAGAGGCGATTACATTTCAGAAACATTAGTAGGGGAGAGAGAGAGAGAGTGATAATACGCACTGATATAACACTAAACCGGTTATCAGATAAATTAAGGGAAGTAATAGAGAATTGCTGAATTATTAAGTTCGACAGAAGGCCAGAACAGCGGTAGTGATTACATTCCTGCCTTTCTTTTCCACAAAGATTTCTGGTTGATTTCAGCCACTTGTAATGGCCGTTGCCGTTCAGAGTGTTTGATATCTAAAAGGCCTCTGGCAGTTTATTCGGTATCCATAAGATGACAGAGAGTGATTCTTCACTTCAAAGTTTATAAAACACAAAATGATTGAGCGAAGAATATGCTTTTCGATAAATTCCTCTTCTGGCTCTACAAATATATATATATATATATATATATCCTTATATACATAGAATATTCTAGATTAGTAGTCAATAACAATATTAGTGTATTTTAAATAATATCGATTTGTAAAGTAAGATCAACGGAATTACAGTTCACTAAAGATGCTTAAATTATAATAATAATAAAAAGTATAATGGCAAATAGAATATCAGCTAAAATTAAGGAAATTCCTTCGAAATATTGAGGATCATTCGAACTTAGATGGCCAAGGTAAGGATAATGTCTGAACTAACTATTTTTGGACGCACAAATTAGGCTTCTTAGTGTGGATTCCAACAGCCAGCCTCAGCAATATTTAGTAATCGAACTCTTAAGGCAAAATTGAGATTTGTTGGTATGCGGTAAATGACTTTAATTGCCTGGCTAACATCAATCAATCTTGTGTTCTGTATGCACAAGATGAGACAGAATAGCGCTACGAATAGATTTTGTTTATCTTTTACTTAACCACTCAGGATGACGTTCAGAAATTCGATGAGAAACACGCCTAACTGTACGACGTATGGCTTCATAGGAGCAGTTAAATTGGTTGATACACATGGAAGACTAGGTGATCTAATATAGGATTATTGATGGTTTTCACAAAATCCTTATTTAGTCATACTGGCGTAAGTGTTTTTGAGGAATAGAAGTTAAGTTCTCAGAGCAACACGGTTAATATACCTGGCTCCACAGGAGCATATGAAATAACAGTTACAGTTGGTGCTGGCTATTCTAAGTATTTTGCTTTTTTTTTAGAAATTTTTAATGGACATGTCCAATGAGTTAATATGTGTATATATATAAACTGCTAAGGTCTTAGCATTACCACAGAGGTGTTTCATCTTGTTCTGAGACTCTTCAAACAATGTGCACCTACGAATCAAGCAAAAACTTAACCCTGTGACAATGAGGTTATAAGCCAAGCAAGTGTAATTCACTCCTAATACACACAGTTTTGAATTCCTTAGTCATTGTATTTCCACAAAGCAGCTGAGTGATCAGGACTTGAAGATGCCAGGTTGGCTTTTTGACATGATTGTGTATGCCTACTGCTCTAGTCCCAAAATATAACCTAATAATAGTCTAACTGCTGTTGATGAAGTTAGCAGTGGGAGGATACTCTTTTACAATGGCTAAACTTTTACTTTTAGATTACTAACTGCTCCATGGCCACATATTTTTGTTGACATGTTGCTACAGTTTACTGATCTGACACTCCACCCCGCACCTCACCAAAGAATATATGTAGTTACTGCTTCTTATTCTGTTCATCCATTGGACTTTCCGATGCCTAAGTCAATAAGGCGAAATGATTATGTGACTATCACATATCACGACTAAAATTTTTATTCCCTTACGTTCCCAGTGGAACACAGGACTTCAAGTTAGAGGCTTGAAGTTTCTGTGGCAGTGGTGTCTATTTTTAAGGGTTGTGGTTGCTAGCCTCATGCCCAACCCTCGCTCTTTACAAGTCTTACTACTGGCTTAACTTGGGTAAAGGAGTGCGTCGGCCAGGGATTGAACTCCGAACCACCTGCGTGGTTGACGAGCATTCTACCGCTGTGCCATGACTGAAATGTACATGATTAATTATTTGATGGGTTTATATCTTTAATGTAAAGAACAAACTCTAAATACTGGTTAGCTGTGCACTAGTGGTTTAAAGTCAGAATCCTTGTCAACCATCCATGTAACCTGGTGTTCGATTCCCGGTTCGTTTACTTCTAAACCACTGCTAGCTTACTAGCTTATAGTAATCCAAGAAAGGAGGGAAGCTTAAACATCAGGTTGATAACCCAACTCCATAAAAATGAAACACTACTGTAATATAAATTCCACAGTTCAAAACTTGAAGCTTTCCTTATGTTTCAGTCAGAATGCAAATCAAAAGAATAAGGTGACGTTTCTTCGAATGAATACATGTTTAAATTTGAGGTTTTTTAAGAATATTGAATTATTTCGATTTAGATTACTTTAATTCCACTCCTAGTTAGGCTTCAGTGCTCCTAGATTTTAAACACTTCCCTAACTGATGTCAACTAGTGATGAGACGTAGCTTAGAGCATCAGTGGCATAGTGGTAGAGTGCTCGCTGACCACGCAGATGGTCCATGGTTCGATTCCCAGCCATCGACGCACCATTCTACCTCGCTAAGACTGGTAAAGAGGGAAGGTTAGGCATGAGGCTAGCAATCCCATCGTGTAAAAAATAATCACCACTGCTACAGGAGCTTCAAGCCTCTTGCCTGAATCCCTATGTTCCACTGAGAACGTAAAGGATTATATACATATATAAATAGAGAGAGAGAGACTCTTTCCCTTCTCAGTATTCTCACTTATCGATCACTTCACATTCAAGCTTCTTAGTCCGTTTTGTAACATCGGGCAAGATGGAGGTGAAGAACAGCATTTTCTTTTTTTTATAGTTTATACAGATAACATGAGAAATTGTTTCTTTTAGTCTCACTTCTGTGTTGCACAAACTCGTCATCTTTATATTCTCATCATCTCTGTGACGTCCAAGTTATTAGTAATTGATGATACTAAAGAAAGAGGGAGAGGGAGAAGGACAGACTTGAGGGTGGTGCTTGGATGAGTGAGTGGGAGTTGGAGGAGAAAGTAGGCATAGTTTATAAGAGAACACTGACTGAGTTAATCCTACTGACTGTGTATAACCAACTGTCAATAATTAGATCAATTTTAATCTTTATTAATCTTATCCATTCATTAATGTAATTTATCTTCATAATTATATTATCATTTATTATTGTTGTTAATCTCATGGCTCATTCTTTTTGTTGTTTATCCTTTGTCAATCTGAGCCCTCTTCTCTTATTTAACCACAAACTCGAACTTACTGCCCTTACCCACCTCCTCCAGAAACCTCGCCATATTTGTTTATCTCTGTTGTTGTTTACTTGCCTACTTATAAGTTGATTAATTTATTTTTGTTCGTCAGGCCAAGAAAAGTGGAAATATGCCTTTATATGTGATGGATGATAAGTGAGTGAAGTGAAAAGTTAGGTCATTTCAGAGCTCGAACCAGAAGCAACGAGATAACTTGCCTTGAGGACTACTATTAGACTGTAGATCCTGTTGAAATTGACATTTTATTCTTCCTTCTTTGAAAGGTCAAATTAGATCAGATTTACAGGATTTCATCATGAGCTGACATTAGTTAGAGAACCATTGGAAAACCCGCCAGGGTGCACTGGACAGCTGTTTCGGCAACCTAGTGTATGACTCTTCATCAGTACGCACCCACCAAAGGGATTCGAACCCAGGACCTTCTGATTACAAGGCGAGCTCGCAGACCATTTAGCCACTGGGACACGATTCAATGGACAGTCCATGAATTCCAACTTCTGCCAATTAACGACATATTTCGACCTCTAGCTAATGTCTTCGGCGAGTATTTGTCCTCGCACCCGACCTGCTGCATCCTACTAGTCACGACTTTTCACTGGAACCCCAAATAGCTATCTACCTGAATAGGGAAAGACCAGATTCATTTGCCTGCGTTGTTTCGCTTTAAGGCAACTGATATTGCCTGATCAGTATTCACCATATACTTGATTCGATATCTTCTATTTGGTTTTGTTAGACAGTAGACTTCAACGGGCATATTTTCACAATTTACAAACCGATTGTTAATTTGCTATGTACACAGTTCAAATGGTGAAATTTCACCCTAGTTTACTTTGATTGAACACCAGTAACTAGTGTGATGTGTCTAGTCCTTACTTCGGTGCAGACTGAATTCTTTCAGTCAGATTTGTAATGTGGCCACCATTCTTGGTAGCTCACCATCACGGTGCAAACATTAGTTTGATGATATCTGATGGTTGGAGACAATCGACCACAGGAAACCTTAGACCCAGGTTTCGCGCTAGTTGGCACTCACCAGTGTCAGCAAGACGTATCTGCGACCTTGAAGGAACTCATATCCCTTCTGAGATTCAAACCCACATCACCCAGTACCGCAGTCAGAGATCTTACCACTGAATCAATATTCCCAATAGTCAGACCAGTTCAGCAATGCCTAAAACAGTATCTCATCAATCAGTCAAAGAAATTAAAAATTCTATCATCTAAACTATTCCACTAAATCGATAATCGTATACGCCAATCAAATTTCTAGCAAGTTAATAAAACTTCTGTTGGTTTGCAGGCAACTGATTGGATAGAGATTAAATCACAGTTTGACATCAATGGGAGACCATCTGAAAACCACGGACTACTGGATAGCTCTTTTATCCTAGTTTGGAAGTTTTCAGCACTGGACACCAACTACGCTGTCTCGAAGATCGAATGTCGTGGATTCAACTCCCAGCTGTTGGGTCATGGGTACTTACTAACAAAGAGTTTCAAAACAGGACGAAAAAGTTGTCTAGTAATCCATGATTTTCAATGGTTTACTATTTGATGTCAGTCCTTCAACTAACCTGAAAGCTTTTCCCTTATTTTTGAAGAAAAACCATAGTTAACATAATTTTGAAACTGATAACAGCATTTACATAACAAAAATACTGATGAATCAATACCCGATCGATATACACACACCACTTGAGTCCTGTTCACTTTTTTGCTCTGCTCTTTGTTGACTGTTGAATACAAAATGGACTGTGTGAGAGGTAGACAGGGAGAGAGAGAGAGAGAAGGAGGGACATTGATAAACACCAGTCAGCGAAGAATAATTGCTATTTATCTCTCGATATCTTTGATGTTAGATGAATTATTATTATTATTACTATTAAAATTAATATCACTCTTATTTCATACTTGTTCACTTTTCCATTTATTTGCTAAATTAGTGTGTTTGTTATTATTCTGACTTTTTTTTTCCTGTTTTCGTTTTGCTTTTCTGTTATTCTCTCTACAGGAATCTGAAAAAGATCCACAAAATGTTTATATAACAAATATACCTGAATCATGGACAGCATCGAATGTTGAAGATTTGAAAGAGATATTCCAGCCTTATGGACAAATTGCTACGGCTATTGTAATGACTAAACGATCGAATAATTTTTGTACAGGTAAGAGTATTTCAATTGTGTCTTTCCCCACCATCCCTCTGTAAAACTACTGGTTTTAGTATGTATATATATATATATATATCTTTCCATCTATAATGTCGTTAAATTAGGTATCACCTGGTGCGAAGCAAACAAAAAATCAATAAGTTCAACCAGTCTACTCGATAGTAAATTTTGAATATAATGATTTCCTCACAGGATTTCAGCATGAGTTGAAATTGGTTAGAGAAGCATTGGAAAACCGGTTAGAAATACTGGACAGCTGTTTCGTCAGCCTGGTTTGGGACTCTTCAGCAGTACGCACCAACCAGGAAGTGAGAAGTCGTGACCAGAAGGGTGCAGCAGGTCGGTTGTTGGGATAAATACTCGCTGAAGACATTGGCTAGTGGTGGCTTTGTGTCGTAAATTGGCAGAAGTTGGAATTCATGGGCTGGCCTTTGGATTGTATCCCAGTGGCTTAATGGTCTACAAGCTAGCTTGCCTTGTTGCCAGAAGATCCCGGGTTCGACTCCCTTTGATGGGTGCATAGTGATGAAGAGTCCCAAACTAAGCCGAGGAGACAGCTGTCCATTACTCCCAGTTGGATTTTCAGTGGTACTCTAACCAATTTCAACTCAACGAAATCCTGTAATCAATCAAATCCCTACAAACCAACAGTGGAATATTGATTTCCTCTAAAAATATACAATGATATCAGTGAGATGGTTGAAGGCAATCGGTAGGAAGGCTTGGACTTAGATTTAGTGGTTGTTGGCACTCGTCACCAAGCCATAATTGCATTCTTGCAGGAATTAATTTCTACTTTGAGACTCCTAGTGGTGCAGTCTGAGTTATTACCATTGACCTGTCGGGGCTTATGGTTGACTTCCTGTAGGTCTGTATTGGATACTTCAATTGTATAAGATCTGTCATTTATACAGTGAATATAAGCTAAGTTGGATGTGTTCTGTAGCTGTATCTGTGTCATACATTCTGATTACCAGTTTATGTTCTTGGATGAGAAGATGAACGGGGCATCCACTTTTGTCAATGAAGGGCTTCTATTAGAGTCGTATCAGTAATGCCCCGTTGTTTTTTCTTCTTCTACTACTGGTGTTATCATCCGTACTCGGTTTGTAGGCAGCAATCATGCAAAACAGTTCAAATATTCTAGCTGTTATACTTCAGAAATATTCTTTATATATAGAGAATTTTCGACTGGTCGCTTGATTTGATATCTCTTGATGATATCCTGTAGGTAGCCATTTTATTTCTGTGTGAGGAAGAAGATATTTCTTTTCTGGTTTGAAACAACCCAGGACCAAGGCTTCCCGCCGATTGCCTCCAACCATCTAATATTTCTTTTCTATTCTCCTTAAGACTGAGGTGCTGAAGTATGCCTTGCTTCCTATGAAAAAAAATTCTGTCTACTACCGAATATTTGATCTAAATGAGTTACCTCTCTGCAATCTGATGGAAGTCGAAAGGTTGGGCTTGAGTCTAGCAACCGCAATTTGTGAAAAAAAGTATAAAACTTTAAACCCAGAAGTCTAAAGCCCTATTTTCCACTCGGAACACAAGCGATCAAAACAAAAATGCTGGTGGTTCTAAAGACAAGAAGTACAGACTTGGAAAAAGACTGATTTCGCAAAGTAATGTGGTGGAATTAGCCTTGTCATGAGCACGAGATTTTACTTCTGTCTGCAGTCACTGATAACAAAATGACCTCAGTGTAGGACGACTGAAATGCTAAGCTTTTTCAGTACAAATCTGAACGTCTGACTCAAACCTTTTTAGATAAAACTCTTAGCAAAGTGTCATGCCAGCAAGCTGAAGAGTCTGAGATAAGACATGTGCGCAGTGTAACTTGTATATCACTAAACACTTTAAAAGTTTAGATTACTCCGTATTGCTTAGAATTCTCTGAAGTTAGCCTTTACCTAGGCGACAAGATTAAGTTTACTGTTACCGTCAAGCAACATCATTAGAAATCGATATCACATTATGTTAAATTGTTCAAGTGAATTATGCATAAGGTCGAAAGTTGCTTCGTTGATATACAAAAACAGTAATAATTCTATTTTAAGTGTTCGACAACCATCTTAAATAACCTTGACATTTAAAATCTATATAAAACCTCCATAACTCATATGTTGTTATTCTGCGAGTCCTCATAAACTGAATTTATTTGACTACACATTGCACACAGTGAACCATCACCTTTTCATTAACAACAGTTATTAGAAAAGTAAGATCAGGCTGGAATATGTCTGCGGGTAAAATGGTCCCAAATGTGACAGATATTTACCTATAAAGCCTCTGAGTTTTAATGTGGTTGTGTATTGTGAGCTAGCTGAATGGTTTATTTGCAAAGCTTTCATCGCCCTACTAGGCAAAATCCTCAGAACACACTTCAATTTGTTCGAATGAGCTTTTAGATTTCTCCACGAGTCACCTCAACTTGAACGTGATTGGTTGTTTTTGTGTGTGTGTTTTCACACTCTCTTTTGGCTACTTGTATTGGAACCGATTATTTCCTTGACTTAAACTTTGATCTTTTGTCTGCGTGAGCTTTCCTTCTTATCGGTTGGTAAATTTTGTCTATCTCGATGTGTCTATTGATTGATGATTGATTCACTGGAATACCAGGCTGGCTTCTAGAAAAAAATTCTCCAGTATTATTGGTGTCTCCTTTGTGTAATATTTGCACATTGGTTGTCTCAGTGGCATTGGTGTCCGTGGTCGTCTGTTTTCAGTGAGGTGATATGAGAGAGTGGATGTGAGGTTTTTTAATGGCTAGCTTATGTTCATGGATAAGAAGGCCAAGGGACGTCCACTTTGACCAATGTAGTGTTTTGCTCAGTTGTTGCAAATTATTTTGTAGATGATGTTGGTTTTATGCTTTTTCGTTTTTGAGTCTTTTGGTTTACACAGAGCTGAGAGAAGTGATTTTCTTGGTTTGTGTGGGACGTCAGTCCCTAGAAATTTGAAGAGTTTGCGGTGGTTTCTGAGATGTCTTTTATATATGGTAGGGCGTTTTCTTGTGTGTTTTCTAACAGCATCTGCAAAATAATTTGCAACAACTGAGCAAAACACTACATTGGTCAAAGTGGACGTCCCCTTGGCCTTCTTATCCATGAATATAAACCAGCCACGACATCCACTCCCTCATATCACCTCACTGAAAACAGACGACCACGGATACCAATGCCACTGGGACAACGAATGTGCAAATATTACACAAAGGAGACACCAAGAATACTGGAGAATTTTTTTCTAGGAACCAGCCTGGTATTACAGTTAATCTTTTGATTTGACACTAGTAACTGGTGTGATGCGTCTAGTCCTGTGACTGGTGTAGACTGGATTCTATCAGTCAGGTTGTAATGTGACCACCATTCTAGCTAGCTCGCCATCAAGGTGCACATTGATTTGATGGTATTAGATGGTTGGAGGCAATCGGCAGGAAGCCTTGAACCTAGGTTTCGTGCTAGTTGGCGCTCGTCAGCAAGGCGTATCTGCAGTCTACACCAATCAGAGGACTAGACGCATCACACTAGTTACTATTGTCAAATCAAAATATCCACTACAGTCCTACAGGAGGTCAATCGCTGGCCCGAATAGCTCAGTGGAAACGTCTCTGACTGCATGCGGCACTGGGTCACGCAGGTTCGAATCTCAGAGGGGACATGAGTTCCTTCAAGGTTGCAGATACGCCTTGTTGATGAGTGCCAACTAGCACGAAACCTAGGTCCAAGGCTTCCTGCCGATTGCCTACAACCATCTAATTCCAGTGAATCATCAATCAATAGACACATCGGGATACCAACCGATAATTAGGTTACCTCGCACACACAAAGAGACAAAGTTCAAATCAGGAAAACAATCATTTCCGATACGAGTAGCCTAGACGGGCCCAAAATCACACAAAAACAACCAATCAGGTTCAAGGTGAGGTGGCCAGGTGAGATGACTGATAAACTCGTGGAGAAATCTGAAAGCTCACTAGAAAAAATTGAATTATGCTCCGGGGGGGCAATGAAAGCTTCGCAAAATAACTATCCAGCTCAGAGAACACAACCACATCAAAAATTATCCACCTAAGCTACAAATCTTCTCCATCATATCTTAAGTCTCTCAGTATTGATTTGAATAGCATCAATATAGCGCATATAGACAGCCTCCTTGAAATGGTAATAGTCAGCTCTAAAAAACACAATCGACTGCATTGTATACATGAATCCACTCTGCAAAACTTCCTTCCATGATAGATTCTGCGTCGGCGTATCTGTTGGTTTGTTGCTTGCTCATTGTGATTCACACCGTGATATTTCAGAGATCGAAAATCATGCTGGCAGTCATCAGTAAGCCACGGCTCTAATATTTTGTACCTGCTGGCTATCATCACTAAGGCTTCTATGAAACATTGAAGGAGCTGAGGCCCCTGCGCACATCGATAACTCATAAGTATTTGGTTAGATTTCTTATAAGATAGTTGTCACGGTTTTCACAAATGCAAACTAATTGTCCGACACTTCTCAGTCTTAAAATGCTCTCTTATGAACATGGTTTCACTGATGAAATCTATTATGAGATATTCTTAATGAAATATTCAATAAAGTGCTTTGGATCTTTTCATTTTAGGCGCTGGTTTCGTTCGTTTCGTTCGACCAGAGGATGCTCAAAAAGCAATCGACGGAATACGCAGTGCACAAATCACACTGGAAAATGGTAAAGGGCCTTTAGAAGTTAAACTGGCTGACAGACAAAAACCATCAGAAGATCAATCGAAGTAAGTGACTGCATGACTGCGCAGATTTGTGTCTGTCCGTTTGATTGAGGCATTGAAGGATTCTGCATTGTGAGACGATCCTGTTTTTGTATCCAGTCAGGAAAAGAGTGAGCTGAGATCACCTATAGTTTGTTGCAATGCTATGACGTAACACTGGATATAAATATAAAGCAGTGATAACTTTTTTCTCTGATCTTCTATTTAAATAAAGTAAGTAATACTCAGTTGTGTACAGAATTGAAGAAACGTGGAACAATGGAATACTGACTAGGATTTAACAGATTAATTAAGAATACCATGGAATTATCCGAAGATCTAACGTAATCTAATTTATTTTGCTCATTTGCTATCCGGTTGCAACACAGACCTCTAAGCCTGAGTTTTGAATGGCGTGAGATTGCTAGCCTGAAGCTCAAATTTACCTCTTTACCGGGATCGCTATTAGCTGTGTGGAGTTTAGGAGTCCATCATCGTGGGATCGAACCCCAGACCACTTGTGGCGTGTTTATCGAGTAATCTACCTCCGAACCACCAATGCTCATCATATGCTTATGTTTGAGAATATTTATATCTTAAGCTGATGATTTTAATGATGTTACCTTCTTTTTGTCACCGCTTGATCTCCGACAGGAACATGGCGCTTGAAGCTTCGACCTTTGGAATTTTAGTAGCTTTAGTTCTGGTTCCATAGGGTGCAGTTGCTAGTCGGGATTACTGTCAAACGTTATACTGGGCAAAATTTAGGAATTGGTCTGCCGCCCCGCCAGATATCGGAAACAGGCCACTTAATTTACAAGGCGAGTTAATTCGCCATTCATCCATCTTCTTTAAAAATGGCTTATTGGATAGGGCGAAATCTTCATTACCAGTCCAGTCAACATTCTCAAATATTAACCTCAATAGGAAGCGGCAGTCCATAGCATTCCGATGGTCTTGTATAGGATTGGGTGTTTCAGTAATTCTGCTATAATTGTATATGCAGATGGCTAAAACATTCGATTTAGAAACAGTGGCACCAAGCAAGATGTGATTCTACCCAACATTTCAAACATTATGAATTAAATTATATTAGTGTTAAACTACAGAGATCAAAGCCGATCAACGCCCTAATGACCTTAGAGTGACTAGCTAGTCAGAGGTGGCACCCGTAATAACGTAATTTTCCTGTATCGTCTCGTCAATATCCTAATGGGAAGAGGACTGTCATTTTCTTTTTGTAACAGTAGTAATGTATGCATATAACGCCGGTTTCATGTCATTGGTGGGTACATCTACGAATGTATGCGTCGCAAATAAAGAATAAGTGCACAGTCTTACCTGTAGCCTAACTTCATCGACTTCAAAAAGGCCTTTGACAGCGTTGACCGAAAAGTAATTTGGAGACTGCTTCAACACTACGGTGTACAGTGCTCAAGTCTTTTTCAACCTGACTCAGCAGCTGTATTAAAATGTCACTTGTCAGGCAATCCACAGAGGAAAATTCAAAGAAGCCAACCTGAAACCAGTTTGGAAATCTTCTGCACTCAGCCAGTATTAAGAACAAGATTTGGATTTTCAGCAAAAATGTGAAGTTAGTCAGTCCTTCTATATGGGTCGGAAACTTGACCTGTCACGAGGGAGATTTCAAACATGTCACTGCAGACTTTTATCAACAGCTGCCCCTTTCACTGGCTGGCTACATACTGAATATTGAATGGTTAGCTAGCCGGTCAGAAAGAATTAGCAACAAGAAACTCTAGCTGGGAACCGACCAACGAAGAACCCATTGCTCAACAAATATGTAGGGGGAAATGCAGATGGATCAGGCATACGTTGAGGAGGCCATTGAATGAAATGGCACTCAATGCAGGCCATCGCACGAATGAAACCCCAGTGGTAATCGACGAGTAGGTCTTCAGTGCGAGTTTGACATGGAGGATATCATGAGAGGAGAAGAGGAGAGATTATGGGCGATTGTCAATCCAGCTGAAGAGGATGGCGGCAAATAGAAGAAAGTGAGGATATGTCGTTTAAAAACTGTATGTCCACCTCGGAACCTAAGAGAGTAATAATAATAATAGTACCTCCTAGTTTTCAGTTATTCTCTAACAGACGCTGTTTTGCCATGAAATTAATCGAAAAAAGCCCAAAAATACGCATACTTCTAAATAAGACTAGTGAGTTATACCTTTACATATCAACCATGACCATTGTTAGCTAAATGTAACAAACATTAATCTTTTCTCGTATAAATAAGCACGCAAACACTAAACAGTGACAAACACGCACACACACACACACAGGCAACACAGAAATGAGCAGGTATGGCAAAAATATTTGGTGTAACAATCAAACTGTCATATTTTTATACGGATCACTACCCACAAAAGAAAAATGAATTCAGTTTTGTATTATAAAAATATGTTTTTTGGAAACGCATTACAAATCTTGTCAAAATGTGTGTGTGTGTATATGTGCGTGTTGTTGTGTATGAATGAGTGTAGGTAAGTTGGTGCGCATGTATGTGTGTGTGTGTGTGCGCGCGAACATTATGGTCATTTAAATAGTAGCAGTCAGGAAATAACGCGAATTATTTGATAGACTAGTGAATTCGGTTGACATTTAAGAAAAAAGAAACCATTCATTCAGACAATATAAACATTCGAAAGAAAAAAAACTAGATGAATACTCATCTTAGACTTCATTGAGAACCAGTGTATTGAAGTAACTCCATTCAAATGGTTCACAAATGTTCAGCAATCTTATGTTACCACTGGTCGAAGCGATGACATCATTTATTAAAGCTTCAGTAAAAGTAGTGTTGGTTACATAGGGTTGAAATGTGGGCGTCACTTCCAATCTTTAGCTTTTGCAAGGATGTCTGTCAGCAGGTGAATTAGACAACGTTTAGAAATGCATCTATCTGCGGAGAATCGAACCCAGTTACGTTATACTGCCAGTGTAGCAACAGAAGACAAGGGCTGGCAACAGATCGCTTTATTATGAAAATCAACACGTATTTATAAATATTATAGCTTATGCAAGTAGACAAGCGCAGTCATCTGATTGGTTGTTTATCAGAAGTTAGGCAGACAAACGCAGGCTTCTGATTGGTTGTTTCGGGATTCCTCGACAAATAGAGTTCTCTATCTGCGAATCATATTTTGCCACGTTAACTTTGCTGTGATTGGTTGTCGAATCAGCCTTGCTCATATTTTCTCACGGCCTGCTCTCACCACACCAGTTGATTGACTATTTTGTACAGGCTTGTTCATGTTCAGTCTTTGTTGACAAATCGACTCCCAATATGGACTCTTCATCGAGGTCTAGCGATTAATGTGAATGTAACCTGTTACATAAGAGGTGTTTCTCATAGCCTAATGCATATTACTTTAGCTCTTGAAAGGATTGATGCAGAGGTTGAGTCCCAGTGGGAGTACCCTTATACTCACAGGGAATGAAGGTACATCCAGTTGACGAGACTAAATAGGATGAATTGTGCTTCCTGAAATACAGTGTTTTTTATCAGCAGCACAGATATCAATTATTAGACTTCTGGATTGGAATCCATACTAAGCTCAGTTATTTCATATTAATTTGTTTATTAGATAAGTTACATAATCAGGCGGGATTATTTACTAAACGACTTTTCGAAAACAATTTATTACTTACAAACATATCATCAGGTGTAACAACACAACTTTGAGACCTTCGTCTTATAGTTTTTTTTTCATTTCTTAGTACTCATCGTAGAGGTAGTAGAATTTTCCTATTTCCGGAACAGGTGTTGGAACACTTCTATTGCATGTATTTTCGCTTGATTCGATAAATAATACTTCCCTTATTAATCTGTCCGTCAACCCTAAGAAATTAGATTTTAAAACTGTCATCTTATCTCTAGAATTCTCTTGTGTGACAGTGCGTAACTGCAGGTAGTGCTGTAGCTGAGCTAATCTCCAGATTTCTTATCTTATTAGGGTCAAATAGGTTTTAGAGCTCCACTTGGACCTATGTATTAGAACTGAAAATCATTCCAGTAGGGCATTAGATAAAATAAGATGATTTTGAATAAAGCAAAAATAACAGACGCGACTGAGTGACGCTATCAATGGTACAACATACTACCATCGATACGTCGATGATACTTTTGTTGTTTGTAACGACATGAGTCATGCATCCGTAATATTTGACCGCTTAAATGAGGTCCACCCAAACATTAAATTCACTATGGAATACGAACACAACGATGAGTTCAATTTCCTGGACCTAAATGTAAAAAGAAGAAATGATGGAACGGTCGAAAAGTTCATCTACAGGAAAGAAACTTGGACTGGACAATACCCTCATTATAACAGCTTCTGTCCTATGAGCTATAAGCGGGGATTAGTGAGGACACTATACGACAGGGCCAGGAAATTATGTTTGCCTAACAAGGTAGAAGAAGAATTAAGCTTTCTTGAAAAATGCCTTAAGGAAAACGGGTATCCAAAAGGATTTATCCTAAAGTGCAGCAAAGAAAGAGATGAGAAAGCGACGTATCCAACAGTTGAGAAGAAGAAAGTGTTCATCTGCCTCCCATACAAAGGAGAAACCGTATCGCAAAGATTGAAAAGAGGATGAAGGGAGCAATAAAGAGATGCCTACCTGCAGCCAATCTGGTGACACTATACAGTACTACATGCTCTATAAGCCAATCGGAACTGGATAAGTACCCTGCTGATGATACCTCCAACTGCATTTATACATTAACGTGTACCTGCTGCATCAAGTACTTTGGAAGAACATAAAGAAAGGCTTCTATCCGGTTTTCAGACCATATTCCAAGAAGCTTATGCTTAAAAGAAAGCAGATATTTACAAAGTGCAATTACCAGACACCTTACGGATACGGGTCATTTTGTCGAGATTTCTAAATCCTTCAAAATATTAAACATACAAAGGACAGCGAACCTACTACGATTTGCTGCTGAAGCGATTGCAATCAAACGTCTCAGATCAAACTTATGCACACAGAAAGAGAGTGTAATCAATCTCTCACTCCCTTGGTAACCGTATTACTTTCATTACACTGATTAGTGGTACATACTAGTGAGCTCAACTCACTAAGCAAGTTTTCAAATTGATGAACTTTCACCTTCTTGAGTTGCCATGTTGACATTGTTTATTAGATTTTCCTGTTTTTTGTCTTCTCTCACCCCCCCTTTTTTTCTTCTTTCACAGTTTGACAGTATATAAATTGATGGTGACTTAGATCATAATACTTATATTCCAGATGCGTTCACCTTATAATGTTTTCTCTATTACCTTTCAAACAATGAAGTATGAAATGTTATTATATATAACCACTGTAAATTCAGGTAGTTTGCAGCTGATGAGAACCTGTGAAATAGAATGATATCATTTTATACTGCAAATCTAGTCTTTCTCTATCAAAAAATAAAAATAAAAAATAACAGTGGTTTGTGGAGATTTTATATGTTATCATCATTTATTTCGTTGGCTTCTCATCAGCTGCTGCTTACAGCCTAAATAAATAATGAGGTTTATGTACAGAAAAGTTTTAACATACTTGTAAAATGTTTCATGATGTCAGCTGACAGAAAGTTCAGCATTTAGTGAACAGTGCTCAGAAAATTGCGCTTATATAATTTTTACACAGGCAGTTCAAGTTTAAAGAAAATAAATGAATTCATACAATGGTAAAGGAGTTACGTAATAAAGACGAGATATGCGTGAAATGCTGAGTGACTAATAAATAAGATAACAATGTATTGAGTTCAACTCAGATCGTAGAAACAAGAGACAAGCCAAAGATTACGTAATTAAATGAAACAGAGGATAATGACATCCGGTTACTAAGGCAAGGAAAGACCGATAGCCGCTTTTTTCTGAACACATAAATCGAGTTTCAAGCGTCTGATAGAAATCGCTCTGGCAAACTTGAGGAGGAACGAGGTTTTTTGTCCATTGGTAATTTTAAAGGATTTCTCAATTTACACATCATGATCCGTATGAGGGAAATGCTTGGCAATAGCGCTATTATAACTGTATGTTCCTTTCTTTTTGTTCTCCCAGGCGAATAGGTTCGTATTGTTGTGAGCAGGACAGTTCACAGTCTACCGGAGAATATATTGAACCAGCAGCCTACCATCTTCAATGGCTTTCCTGATTGATGTAGACTGGATAATGTGACAGACAGGAGCGAGCAACGAGGAAACATGCATAAAATGGACCCACACAAAAAACCTAGGAGATTTGGATTTTACCGATGATATATGTCTGATTTCCCACAATGCAAGTGAAAAGAAACAAGTTGACAGGAGAAGCATCAAAGATAGGACTTCCCTCAGGTGAACATAGAGAAAACAGAGGTGATGAAGATTGCTTGCCAATAGCAACAGCAACAACAACAACAGACAACAATCAGCCAGCATAAATGGGATAAGTCTGAAAGAAACAACCAACCAACCTACCTACGAAGCATCGTTTCAACTACAGGCAAACGGAACTGATGAGGATATCAAAGCGAGGATCGGGAAAGCAAGACAAGCTTTCATTACTGTCAAGTCTGTGTAGAGGTCAACAGTACCCAGCATGAAAATGAAAATAAGATCTCGATTTTCAACTTCAATGTGAATTCAGTGCTACAATACAGTTTAGAGAATTGGCAGCGTGTCACCAAGGGCACTTCAAACAATCTACAGACCTTCATTAACAGTTGTCTTCGCTCAATACTACTCAAGATCAGATGGCCGGCCAGGAAAGATTAGTAACTGGGATCCTTGGGAACGAGTCAACCAGGAACCGATTGTGCAAAAAATATGCAGGAAAAAATGGAGATGAATTGGCCATACTCTGAGGAAACCTTCAAGTGATATCACACGCGAGGCCATTGATCGAGTGTAACCCAAATGGAAAGCGTCGAGTCGGTAGTCAGTAAGAGGGTGACATGGAGGAGGTGATACGAAGGGGAGATTAAAGCATGTGGGCAGACGTGGAGCCAGATGGGAACGTTCTAGGAGAACCGAACGCAGTGAAGATGTGCGGCTGAAGCCATATGTTTCTCTAGGAACTAAAGGAGACAATAAGAAGAAGAAAAAGTGATAAAGTGGAATAGATCATAGACACTGAATTGATCACAACTATGAATTAGTAAGTCTCATGGAATATCAGAAGTCATCCGCTTACGGATGAATGATCTTGTTGCTACCGTCAATTTCCCAGTAATCCAAAGGCCTCCATCCTGCTTTCCACTGTTGCTTTCTAGACTAGTGAAGCAGTTTTATGTTATTCAGAGCAAGAAATTAAATGGATTACTAAATATCTCATAATAACCGTTAACTACACTGAAAATACAAAATAATGAATCAATAGCTAATTTAATTTAATTTGAGCATAACCTGCTTTTTTTCTCTAAACTGCCTTTTCATTTTCTTAGTAGTACAAAATCAAGACAAGTGAAACGTAGCAGTGAACCGCCTGAATCAACAACACCAGGTGGATTAATCAACGGGAGCGAGGAGAGCTCACGACATTCCCGTACACGTAAACAATCCGATTGTCTACTGCCAAATGAAAATCAGTTAGGCACCCATGGTAACAGTCGACTAAGATCCACACCTGGTGTATTAGGTCCAGCGACAGACTTCACATCATGGGATGTTACAAATCGACTGAACAACTCTGATTCATTTATGCTTGCACTACGTGCTGCTTGGGCATCGAATACTCTACAAAATCAAAATTTCCTGCTACGTAATTCTATCGGACAAAATAGCATGCCTTCAAGTAATGAAAATAATCGTGGCCTATTACCTATTCCAAATCCAACAGGACATTTGACAAGTTTAGTCTCGCAACAGAAAGTACCACCGCCTAATGGTCTACTGCACAACCAAACGCCTGTTCAACATGGATTAGTAACTGGACCGACAGCTGCGGCTGCGGCTGCTGCAGCAGCTGTTACCGCCTTACTTCCCTTCTCTAGACCGATTGACAGTTACTCATTGTCACAAGCTCTTATGCATACACCTGTCACGCCTACAATGATTGGTCCAAGTGAGTTACCGATTATATTTTCAGGTATTACATTTTTCCAGGATTCGATTTGTTCTTCAAATTTGATCACGGATGAGCATTAATTAGAGAACCATCAAAAACCAGCACAGAGTACTGAATATATGTTCCTTCCTAGTACGGGACCCTTCACCAGCCGACTGAATCCAGTACCCTCAGGTATTGGGGCAAGCTGGTTGACTATTCAGCCACCAAGATTCAATGCAATGGCAAGTCTGTGATTTCTGCTGATCCGTGATTTTAGCGCTACTGGCCACAGCCAATGTGATCGGCGAGTATTTCTCATCACTCCCCACTCCAAATGACCACGACTTCTTATTAGAACTCCAGGAAACTTCGCCCTGTAGCCAGTCACTAGCGAACATTAGATAAGTTTTCGGTAATGTTCAACAATAACGTCCCATATGTGCAAAAGCTCCAATGACCTTGAACGCATGCTAGTCGTCGGCTGCCTGCACCTGTCATATCAACGCTATTCACCAACTAAGCACCAAATTTCACTTAGATCACGTTTTTAAGTACTGTTTGGACTGTGTTAATAGCTCGTTAGGGTCAGGATTAAGGTTAAGGTAAGTATTGCGATTAGGGTTAGGATCACAATCATCATAAGCATTGGAGCTAGGTTTAGGGTTAGGCCAAGGGTTGTAATTAGGGTTAGGGTTCAGGATTAAGGTGAGGGTTACGACTAGGGATAGATTTAGAGTTGATGTCATTTATTTTAATCTGTTTTCTAATCCACATTTTCCTGGTAAGAAGTCGTCGATCCTCTTACTGGAAACCATAGTAATTCAACCAAGGGCTTTGGGGAAAACTGTACAACAGGATAAGAGAGACAAACAATTAACGAAAACACCTCATATTTAGTCACCTCGGTGAATACATGTACAGAAACCAGCTTAACTTAGCAACTGGTACTCCTCATAACTGAGACGTATTTTAAAGTTATATCAGAGAAAGATAACCTGTTTAGTATGTTTTCATGCATTTTCTTGTAAATATACGTCATTTTTTATGCGAAAACCACTTATTTTTATGATTGGTCAGTTGAAGGTCGCTAGTGCGTTCGCATCCCTTGAAATGCTATTGTTGAACTTCGCCTAATTTTCAAGAATTTATTCTTAGGGATTTGATTTTCTTTTTTAAGTTTGACCATGAATTAATATCAGGTAGAGAAGCATATGAAGCCAAAAAAGAGCTGTTTCGTCCTAGTTTGTGACTCATCAGGCCCTGAAACCACGATCTCCTGGTTATGAGTCAAGCTAGTAGACCATTCAGATACTGGAGACCAACCCAGTGGGCCATGAATTCAGACCATAGCTAGCCAATATCATGGGAGATCATGTTTCCTCACAGCTGGTGTGATAGGCCCCACTGATTGGAACTCCTAAAAAAACCTCCTCTTGTAGGTAGTCACAAGTGAGGCATAAGATTAATTTTCAAGTATTGATTTTGCAGGGATATGAATCGTTTCTTGTTTCTCATGACATTTAATAAAACGAAAATTTAAGCTGACATTTATAATATATATATATATATATATATATATATATATATATAAGAGGAATGGAAAGTGTTCAACCTATCAAGCTATCCTTCATTGCAACAACATCAACAACAAGAAAAAAATAGCAAACATAGGAAAAACGCTAAGCATAATTATTACTTTTATTATCCCTGTTCTTATTCTTAATCTTCTACTTTCGATAAGGTCAAAATTGTTTATGGATTATATCGGGTAATCTTATCACTTCAAACCAGACAACAACTGTAGGACGACGTACACCAGTATACAATGTTATAATAATAATAATAATTATTATTATTATTGTTACTGGGTGTAAAGGTTGATGAGTCATCGCGAAATTCTGACTACATATATACATGCAGTTCACCATGTTGACTGAAGCAAAACATAATAATCATTCTTAAGACTGGATATGCCATGGTACAGACATAAGTCAAGCAGAATAATCATATATATATATATATATATATATATATATATGTGAGTCATCCATGTATAACAAAGCTAAGTGTGTGTGATCGATTAAAGAAAGCGCATTGAAATCAGTAAGCGAAAAGTATAAATTAATATTGACATGGATTTAGAAAAGAGAAAATTAAATTAAGCCCAAGCAACTGTTACCTAGGCAATAATAATAATAATAATATCAACAATGAGGACTGTTGACAGTCTGTCAATTTATCGATATGCCAAAAAGGGGATATACAAATCTCATAAGGTGTGTACTTACTAGTACTGCTTGATCTGACTGGAGTCCAGCGGTTGGATGACTTCAATGTGGCTAGGAAGAACTACTGGTGTGATGATTTGTGGTTTGAACTCTATGCGAAAAAAAAAATGTTGGATAAAATCGTGCACTTTATGTCTTACTGAATACATTGAGGACAGTAATTTTAATTTCGACGTGGCGATAAGTTCCCCATCGGGTCCAATTTTGGGCTGATTTCTTTCTAAGTAAACTAGAAAATCGATCTTTAAGGAACCTTATCAGAAAGTTCTCATTTTATTGCCTGTATATGGATGACACCTACTCATTGTGATAATGATTTGGGTAGGAGGACAATAATAACTGAATTCGGTGAAATGCAAAGAGGAATCTTAAAATAGGACAAAACAGCTGTCCATTACTCTGAGGTTTACCAATGGCTCTCTAAGTGACGTCAACTTCTCCAGCCAATCAAACAAAATCCTTATAAAAATCAATAATTGAAAAACAAAATGCCTTATACGATATCGAAAGCTTGCACAAAAAAAATTCAAAATCACACACACACAGAGCGAACAGAACACCTAAAAAAATTCTGTTGAACTTATTATTACTATTCCCTTGGGTTCCAAATAGAATATGTAGCTTCAACAGGTGGTCTTCATTTTATCCAGATCTTCTAAGCCGTGTTTACCTGGCCCCATGATTTTCGATGAACTGTCATTTCTCCTCACATTTGTTTTTCTTCACGTTCCCCAGTGGGATATAGGGCTTCAAACTAGTGGCTTGCAGTTTCTGTAGCAGTGTTTAATTTTACAGGATGGGGTTGCTAGCCTCATGCCCAACCTTTCCTCTTTACCAGGATTATTTCTGATTTAAACGAGGTAAAGGAGTGCGTTGGCGGCCCGGGGTCGAACCCCGGACCATGTGCATGGACGGCGAGCGTCGTAACCGCTATGCCACTGACGCATGATCTATTTTATATCATACTTGAACCCATCGCCAACTCATCATTTTTTCTGTTTGGTTCAACTCGATGGCCTATTACTGTATAATATCACTCAAAAGCCTACTCACTAGGTATCTAATCCATTGCCATTTCCCTCTGCGTACTTATAAGACTATGGCTTTTTGGCTGGTTCTTTGAAAGGGTTCTTTGTTGCTTTTCATTTTCTGTTAATCTGAACTTCATCATGAGAAGGAGGCAGCTGCTGATGAAAGTCCCCCAACAGCCTGTTAGAAATGCTCTCCGTAACATGTGTATCACGCCTCTGAACCATATAGAAGAAGTGACAGACTTGAGATTAAGGTTGGAAGTTTAAATCTTGTTTCTTATAATGTGTACAAAAGACTTTTAAAATTTATTTCTGAGCGATGAAGGTCGGTCTTGTCTTCCCAGTCCTGCATAGATAAGTGAAAGAGGCTGATTTCTTTAGATTTCTCCGGCCAATAGCTATTGATGCATGTTGTTGTTCTCGTTGGTTAGGTGTTTTCATCACCCCTGTCTTCTCTGTGTTCACTTGAACTCCTGTCTTTGCTACGTATCCCTTGTTGGTTTTCAATTGCGTAACTTGAACTTTTTGTGACATGGGACATAAGTCATCGGCGAGGTCTATATCTTCCAATGACTTATCGCCAGTGATACATATTCATGTCTTCTCTCTGTCAACCGTCTGAAGTATGATCCAGTCGACCACAACCGGGAATGTCATCATTCATGGAAGACAATCTTCTCTCATTTCTGTCGTCAATAATGAACTTACTTAGTTCGTGTGAAAAAACTATAACTGGACACTAGTCACTGACTAGTGTAATGTGTCTGATCTTTTTTTAACTGAATTGTAGATTTTCTCGTCGGTTGATTGAACTGAAGTGCTTGGTTTCAGGTTGACATGTCGGCTTTTTGTACAGATGCTTCAACGATGTCTGGACATGTATTAGAATTTAATTGGTGGATGTTGACTAGCAGTGGAATCCAGGATGCGAATTTCATCCTATTTGAGACTCTTCCGTTAGTTGGATGTACCTGCACTCCCCAGTGAGTGATAATGTTCCCAGCGAGGCTCGAACCCAGTAAACCCAGTCGATGAGTCCCGAGCAGGACGAAATGCGCGTTATCCTGGATTCCACTGCAAGTCACTATCCACCAGCTAAATGTCTAATCTTTTGTTTGGAGCTAAAATGCCTCCTACTATGTAACAGCATGGAAACACTATTGTTCCGGTGCTCTGTAACACTTTTTCCCTAGTGTGAATGAGGATAAATTCACTGTGAAATCAATTTACCTTATCTGAGTATATTTCACAATGAGAAACAAATTTTGAAACTTTGAGAAACAAATTTATCATTAAACGATTAGTGTCATTGAATTACAAAAAAAACCTAAAACAAAAGAGAAAACTTCTAAATATAATTTTCGCAAGTTTTACGTTCCCAACATTTTTATCTAAGTCCTATTTACAAAGCTCACTAAAAAAACTGGAACCAATAAATTGTGGTAATATTACCAATCTGACTGATAAAACATCTACCTATTACCCCTGTCAAGATCACCGCCATCAAGGTTATTCGTTGTTCAATGTACAATTAAATGTGTGTTTTACTTTATCAACGTAAGTCAAGCAATACACAGTCAAACAAACAGTAGAAAGTGTTTATTTCTTTCACTTTGAATTTTCATTTTTATTTTTTATTATAGTGATACAACCTGCTGGCAATTGGACTGCAAGCCCATTAATATCAAACATCTACCAGTCAATATAAATCAATGACTACACCTCTTTATTCAACAGAGGACATACTAAAATTGTCTATTTCTAAATGTTGTGAATTCATAGGTGATAAGACTTTTGTTCAAAAGAAAACAAATTCTCAAATATCAATCCATCCATTTTGAATATTGAACACCTGCCCCTACAGATATGCCCCCTCTAATTCTATTCTCTTATTAGTAGAAGTCTGTTTTTCTGTTTGTTTTTTCAGAGTTTTTATGATTTTTAATGACACACAGATTGATGTGCTATTTGTGTGTGTGTGTGGGTGGGTGGTTGTCGGGTGCGTAAGTGAGCACATCCATCAGTGTTGGTGTATTTCATGTGACTATGTGTGTATAGACGTTTTGAAGAAACAAGTCTCTGTGTATGTGTGTGTTTGTGTGTTTGATTGAATCGGTATATGCACACAAGATGCAATCGATTTCGCTTACCCTATCCCTCCCTTCGACCGCCACCTGATTGTCCTTTCTATAAAATAGTGTTGTAACAGTCAGGAGGGTAATTTTTACTGACAGATATCAATATATTTTTTTCTTTGGTTTGTTTTTATTCCCAACTTACCACCTGGACTCAGTTGTTACCTCGACTTCCTCCAACTTCCTGCTAGACTAGCCTTTTATCACCTCCACCTATGAGTGATAAGTTGTTCCGTTTTAGCAGTCATTCAGTCAATCGGTTAACACCCAGTTTTTGCCCTTATCTTTATGCTTAAGTGGCCTCTAAATGTCTGTTACCTCTTTCCCCGGCCGCTTCCGCTTCCGCTATCTCTCTCTTTCTCTCTCTCTGTGTGGCCCTCCCTCTTCTCTCCTTCCCACCTATTTTACCAATGTGAAAATGAATGAAAGTTATTTTAGTAATAAAACCCTCAGAAAGAAAACCCGCATATACATGTAAGCATATGTAGTAATATATGTATCTAAAAATATGCGATGTACACACTCACACATACACACTCACTAGAGCCAACCCAGAATGTCTACATGCCTACGTTTTTTTTCTTGTTTTCTATTGTTCAATGCTGTATGATTCTACTTGACGATTATTTTTGTGCAATTCAACTCTTTTATCTTAATCTGAAATCACTGATCATTTTCAAACTCATTTTTTTTCAAATGGACGCGAACGCTAATTGTGCTATGCTTCATATGAGATATTGATTTTTCTTTTGTTTAAGTGTATGTGTGTGTGTGTATGTGCATGCGCGCTCAATCGCTCGCGTATTCCTGAGCGTAGGTGTAAGAATGGAATTCAAAGACGTAGGAAAGGCAGAAAATTTGAAAATGCTCATTTCACATAACTGTGAGGAGAATCACATGACTTTTACTATTTTTCCGTGGTACATTTAAACAAAAATATACATGGATTCATGGTTGAATAAACAAGTTTTAAAAAATCCCCTTTAGGAGATGAGATAAACACACCCGCCCACACATACACACTGAAAATAAACAAATTTGAATATAAAACAAAAATGGACAAATGCCAATCGAGAGAAACTATCATTTTATGCATTATTGGTGTTTTTTGTTGTTGCTCTTGTTGTTCGTTTATATTTCCTTTTGTTTGTTTCTTTTTCTGCCGTTGGTTGCAAATCTTGTCAATCTTTGTTTGTGCGTTCACGTGAGCGTGTGTGTTAATTTCTTTAGGTGTATGTTTCTGCGTGTGTGTGTGTCTGTGTATGTGTGTGCTCACGTTCATGTGATTCATTTCTGTTTTCAACGGATTTTTGTGCTTTCCTTATACATAATAATAATAATAATAATCTGAATGTTTCTTTACAGCCACAGAATGAGATTTTGTTTTTGTACAATGAAAAACTTGGTGAATGCAGTGCTTTTTGAATGTAACAAAAGATTAAATTATCACTAGCAATTATAATATTAATAATTTCACTTCTCATTCTTATACTACTGATTTTTCAGTAGTATTTAAGTAGTATAATAAAACTGTTAGTTGTTAAGTAGAGTATTGTGTGTGTGTGTGTGTGTGTGTGTGTGTGTAGAAAAGAAACCTGAACTTTTCACACATTTCAGCTGTATGTTCTCCTGTCGTTTAACTGTTTTATTTTGATGTTAATGTATTTCTGTGGGTGAGTGTGTGTGCGTGTGTGTGTGTGTGTGCCTAAATGAGTGAATATGTCTTGTTGCACAAACCTTCTTTCTAATCATAAGAGTGTTGTAATTGTTGACTGGCTTTCGATAAAGTTTTAGTTCAACTCAATATTATAATTCTCATTACTTTTAGCAGTAGTAATAATAATAACAGTAGAAGTATTTGTCACCTGGTTGAATAATCTGTACAATTCATGTAATAGTGTGACAGACAAAAAAATCAATAAATAATCGATGTGAAGTAGTAAAAATGACGATATAAAAATCGATAAATTGACTTTTTTTCTTTTCTAAACAAAATAATTAAGAAAAACACAATGAAGTATATAACTTATGCAAAAAAGTTTCGTTCTTGAGTACATACATATATATTTTTTTTCTTCCAAATTTGAGTAAATTTTACTTAGTATAAAAAAAATTATATTTGTTAGTCGTTTTTTTCTGTTTTTTTGTTTTCTCTCATTTTTTGTGAAGAAATATATGATTTTGATTCCCAGTTGTGTTGTTAGATTCATCGTTATTATTATTATTACTGTTAATATTACTTTTATTAGGTTGAGAGTGGAACATTGGACTTCAAAAGAAGGCTTCCATCTCGGTATGTTCTCCATAGTCCCTTTAAGGTGGCGCACTTCAACCGCCAACAAGCTTTCATTTCTTATACATACCTCTGAAACCCTACACCCAACTCGTTTTTCTCCGTTTGAGTTCTACTCGAGTGATGGCCTGAAACACACACACACACGATAAGAATTTACGGTTTGATTCAAGTCAGTTTTCTCTGACAAAAGGTTCTTGTGTGTATGTAAAATACCCATTGGGACATTAGAGGGAAAAGAACAAGAAGTTCAGAAAAAATATATCTTTTCAGCGATTTCATTCTCAAAAGCAGCTATACAGTCTCATTTATATAGATTAGTTTCATTTAATTAATATTATTGTTCCCTTGGGTTCCTAGTGGAACATAGGACTTCAACTGCACGTCTCCACTTGTCACTTCTGTCTTCCTTTTTCTGTACTTTTCACCTGCATCCATGTTAGTCCATACTCTTTCAACTCCTCTTCACACGATCTCCTCCATGTCACCCTTGCACTGACGTCCCACTAGAGCAATGGCCTGACGCGCGATGTCACCAAGAGGTCTCCTCAGCGAATGTCCAATCCATCTCCACTATCTCTTGCATATTTGTTGGTTGGCGATTGGTTCTTGTTTTGTTTCTTCTCAGCCAGAGTTTCTTGTTGGTGATTCTTTCCGGTCGGTCATCTGATTTTCAGTATAGAGCCAGCGAAGACAGTTGTTGGTTGATGAAGGTCTGCAACAGGGCGCTGAAAATATTCTTTGTGACCTGCTCGCCAAGTTTCTCATCCGTATAGAAGAACTGACTGACTTTACGTTTGTATTGAAAATCCGAATTTCGTTGATGATGCTGAGTGACGAAAATTGGTGTCCAGATTGGTTTCAGTTGGTTGATGAATGTGTTTCTCGCCTTCCCGATTCTCGCTCAATTTGACATCCTTGTCCGCTCCTCCTGTAGTTGAGACAATGCTCCCTAGATAAGTGAGTGAATGAAGTGACCTCTTTCAAATCCCTCTCGTTGATGGTGATTGACGCTGGATGTCGCTGCTCTCGTTGTTGTCGGCTGGTTGGTTATTTTCATAACCTCCATCTTGTCTATATTCACCTGGAGTCCTGTCTTCGCTGACTGCTTCTTCGACCAGTTTGTTAGTCGGTTTTCGCTTGTGAGTCTTCGATTTTGTGTGTGTGACATCAAACATAAATCATCCACGCGCGAAATCCAGGTCTTCTAGGTTCTTCACGTCGGTACAGGATATTCCTATCCTCTTGTTTCTCAATGTCTGACGCATAATCCAGTCAGTCCACCACAATTAGGAATACCATCGTGGGTGATAATAAGCACCCTTGTCTGACTCCTGTGTTTACTCAAAACGCGTCACTGAGTTTTCCATTGTAGATCACTTGACATACGCCGTTGTCGTACAGCTGTTGAATAAGTTTGATGAATATTTGAATTACTCTATATCAGTTTACATGGATACAATTATTATTTATTTAATTCCACATATATAACGAAGGTGATAATAATTTTCAACTTGATATGAAATCTGAAGGTACGAATATAGATTACAAGGGGCTTAGAAACAAGATTACATAGGATTAGAAAACAGTTACAACGTATGTAAAATTAATAGTTGATAACTGGGGAAACAATTTTAAAGGCGAATAAAAGATGATAATTATTTTCAACTCGACAGGAATTACAAGAGGCTTAGAAACAAAAGTTACGCATGGGATAGAACGAATTACAGGTGTGGACAAAATGAGCATGGAAATAAATTGAAATCAAAATTTTCAACTTGAAATGTAAGTTAAGAGGTGTGAATATAGATTATAAGAGGCATAGAAACAAAAAATTACACAGGATTAGAATATAATTGTAAAATACATATTCTAAACTGATTACAATTTAAATCAGGAGGAGCATGGAAACAAAACTTAAAATATCAGATTTTATAACTGAAAAACAATGGGATAACTGGAATGAATACAAAGAGAAAAAATTACACACGCAGAGAACAAAACAAAATAAGCTTTTGAGAATGAAGTCGCCGAAAAGGTTCTTGGTTGAAGTCTTTGTTGCTATTCACTTGTCTTCATCACTTCTGTAGTCTCTATGTTCATCTGAAGTTCAGTCTTCGCGTGCATATCTTTGACTTCATGTAACAGTTGATATAAATCGTCCGCAACATCCAGATCTTGTGGAATCTTATCAGTCCAGAGTATTTCTGTCTTCTTGCTGTCTGCAGTCTATTGCATGATCCAGTCCACCACACTGGATAACATCATTGTTGACATCAGACAGCCTTTCTCCAACTCCTGTCTTCACTTCAAAGACTTGCTCTTTGTTGTATATCTTCTTTTTAACCAGAATGATATATGTTAATAGGGCTAGAAGGTGGGACGGTGGTTGGATTCAACAAGAACAAGTGTGAGCCTAAAATTTAGACATAATATATATGTATATATATGCTGTTGCACTGAAATAACAGAGATTTGTAGATCAGGTGGATGACTTCGATATAGTTGCCTTCTTTGGCCTGGGTTTATTTAAATGAGAAGCTTTCATTGAAATAAGAAGAAAACTTGTGCACTTTGGTAGAGCACTGGTCAACTACATAGGTCAAACTGGTAGATCAAGTGTGGTTAGTCAGATTGTCCGAACACAAGTATTTAGCTAAGGTAAGAATGGTGCATCGGTAGCATAGCGCTTAGGACGCTCACTGACCGGGGTTCGATTCCCGGCCGACGCGCACTCCTTTACCTCGCAAAGCCAGAAATGATGCTGGTAAAGAGGAAAGGTTGGGTATGAGGCTAGCAACCCTATCTTGTAAAATAAACTTTGCTACTGAAACTTCAAGCCACTAGCTTGAAGCTCTATGTCCCACTGGGGAACGTGAAGGAAAAAAAACACCCTTTATAAAATAAACAAATGAAAACAAAAAATGGCGATGACTATAATTATAAGAACAATAACAATAGAGCTTGATGTCATAAGGTTGGAGAATATGGTTTATTTAATAGTGAAAATAAGGTTAGTTAGTCCATGCCTAACACTATTTTCATCACATAAAATACGTGTGAAATATAGTATAGTGGAATTTTTATACTTGGACGTACGTGCATAAATTCTGCTGAAAAGACTTCTTGTTTTACCTGAGGAGACATAAGGCTGGAGCTATGGATAAAGTGAGTGCTCACAGGCTGACAAAATTTCTCCACCAAATTTGTTGCATGACATTAAGTGCCTATCAGTGACATATCAACGACATGACCCAACAGGATACCACTATCCCTACTGACAGTCTTCAGAGTTCTACGAAGTATGACATAGTGTTTTTCAAGCAATCGAGGAAAGAATAAGGGTGAACAGTAAAGAAGAATAGGAAAAATACGCGAGTGGACAAACTGTAAGAGGAGGGGTTGGGTTATGCCTGAGTGCCTTAACTACTTAACGTAAAACGTCAGACGAAATATTTTTTTAGAAACTGCTAAGACATGGGAAGACCAGGATAGGTCAGTAAAAAGAATTAATCCAAGAAACTTAACTACAAACTTGGTTTCTATATAGGTATCACCAATTTTGCAAGAGTCACAGGGACCAACGGCTTCCTTTAACCTACGTTTACATCGAAAACTGAAATTAACAGTCTAAGATTTGGAAGGGTTTACTTTAAGACCATTTGCCAACTCCTGATAGAAAACTGTTCATCTTAGTACAGTCTATCCGGGAGTTAACAGACACTGAAACGGTTAGATCGTCCGCATACTTAACCAAGTTCATTTCATCAGAGTGAGGCAAGTCATGCAAGAAGAAAGAAAGTAGCAAGGGAGAAATGACAGCGCCTTGAGAGACACCAGCCTCAGTAAGCAATGAAGTGGACGACTTTCCCTGACATACAGTGTACTGCTTTCTTCCTGAGAAATAAGAATGAAGCCATTTGACAACTAAACAGTCAGATTGAGTTCCAGCAAGCTTGTTTAACAAAATTTACCTA